GAACTATCCCTTTAAACTATTGTTAACCCTACAATACACTAACCATCCAATGTCCATCCATGTTCAAAAAGAGGTCAGGATACTGAGATGTGCAGTACAAAATAATCTACACCACATCCCCTTAAAAGCGATGATTGCAGTCTAAAACCTGCTCAGAATGGATCACTATTTTGGTTCTTCAGATCCACAATAATGGACTGTATGGAGCATTGCCCAGTAGTCCCTGCTCTCATTCTTTCATAAAAAGACTGTGCTGTTCTAGCAGAGGCTACTGACACTATCAGCATCAGTTTTCAACTTTAAAATGGTCCTTCTGAGAGCTTTTTAATCACACATTGTTGACTAGCTGCAAAAACTCCTACAGAACTTTTAGGTTTTTACTGGAAGGGGAAGGCTCTTCAATGATTCTTGTTAACCCTACAATACACTAACCATCCAATGTCCATCCATGTTCAAAAAGAGGTCAGGATACTGAGATGTGCAGTACAAAATAATCTACACCACATCCCCTTAAAAGCGATGATTGCAGTCTAAAACCTGCTCAGAATGGATCACTATTTTGGTTCTTCAGATCCACAATAATGGACTGTATGGAGCATTGCCCAGGAGTCCCTGCTCTCATTCTTTCATAAAAAGACTGTGCTGTTCTAGCAGAGGCTACTGCGCTATCAGCATCAGTTTTCAACTTTAAAATGGTCCTTCTGAGAGCTTTTTAATCACACATTGTTGACTAGCTGCAAAAACTCCAACAGAACTTTTAGGTTTTTACTGGAAGGGGAAGGCTCTTCAATGATTCCGTGTAGCACCACAGATTCAGAAAAGAACCCCTTTATCGTGGACATTTTTGGGTTCTTGAGTTGGTTCTGGTTCTTTACAGATAAAAATACAGTCCTGATGTTACGGCTATAAATATCAATGTTCTTCAGATCGGCGTATTGTTTTCCCAAGCTCTTGAAAACATAAGAACATAGCTGGTTTTCTAAAGAACTAGAGAAAAAAAGTTATTCAAATTATTCTCCTATTGAATCAAGGAGTAAAGAGTAAAGTTAGAAACCACATAGCACCAATCCGCACATCCACCTCAGAAGAATCAACTGCACATATCTGTGACTTTTCACTACAAACCACATTAAGATGCAAAATTTGAATTGGACAACAACAAACAACCCCTGATCTGAAATCTGCTTCCAAGAAGGCGCGTTCTGGTGAGTCATTATCCGAGGTCTAATGGAAAATGAAGATTCCAGCGGGAGATGACAACCACTAGAGACCTCGTAAGTTATTCTGACGAAGACGTTATTTGTTTAATTGGGCATTGTTCATCTGTATTAGCATTAGAGCGATAAATGTCTTCATTACTATAAATGGATGGAAAATTCCCTCCATCTGAGACGGAGTATGTTTTGATGAGATTAACGCAATGCTTCATTTGATATGGTTAATAACACATAGTCTGTAAGCGTTTCTTGCCAAGACTTGAAGTGTGTGAAGTTACAAGATACTGTGTGAGGTCCCGAGATCTTGTTTCATTTTAACAACCATTGTCAAAAGATAATAGAGATCTCTATTTTCAGCCCACAGTGCAGTTAAGCGAAGGCAGAATCAGGACAATAGACAGGGCCTTGAATTCATATTTTATTAAACAACCACAACATGCCATCAGTAGCATTCATTAGGCAAGCCACAACTGGAATAAAATCATTAAACAGGGCATGAAATGAGAAGGGAATCTTATCTAAGAGGAATGCAAGTCAACACCCTGACATAAATCATTGTTACAAATCATAATGTTACTACATATTTTTCAGCTCTAAATAAACATCCTCATATCATCTCTGTAAGGTGGTGCATTTGGCATGAGTGATCAGAATGAGGCCATTTATTTAGACCACCATATAAAATTCATGTAATACATGACATTAGGGAACATATTAATATTGTTCAGAACGCTCCGCTTAAGCATATGTAAATACACATGAATGGGGTCAGCGACTCAAGGGACCGTGCGAGCAGCATAAAGAACTTGATTCATCACGGCAAAAATGAGTTGGAAAACCAGAAACAGGGGCTTCTGGTATTCAAAATGCTAAGACTCTCATGCTAAGAAAATCATAATGCAAAATAAAAATAATTTGCATTAATATGAACTACTATCGAGTTACAAAACCTAAACCTTAGACGTAACTAAAAAGTACATCAACACTTCAACAGTTTTTAATTACTTCACTATCTTCAGAAACACCATAGCTGTCAACACTACAGGTAAATGGGATATTCATCATTCTCTCATTTTTCTCTGACATGAGCTCATCTCATCTAATGACCTAAGAAATTCCACATTAACCTACCTCATGGTTGTGCCTTAAAATCAAGTAGTCTGGTCGGACATCAAATGTCTGTGATGCCTAAAAATGCTGTGTACACTCTAAAAAATGCTGGGTTGTTTCAACCCAACTTTGGGTCAAATATGGACTAACCCAGGAACTTGATTCATCACGGCAAAAATGAGTTGGAAAACCAGAAACAGGGGCTTCTGGTATTCAAAATGCTAAGACTCTCATGCTAAGAAAATCATAATGCAAAATAAAAATAATTTGCATTAATATGAACTACTATCGAGTTACAAAACCTAAACCTTAGACGTAACTAAAAAGTACATCAACACTAAAACAGTTTTTAATTACTTCACTATCTTCAGAAACACCACAGCTGTCAACACTACAGGTAAATGGGATATTCATCATTCTCTCATTTTTCTCTGACATGAGCTCATCTCATCTAATGACCTAAGAAATTCCACATTAACCTACCTCATGGTTGTGCCTTAAAATCAAGTAGTCTGGTCGGACATCAAATGTCTGTGATGCCTAAAAATGCTGTGTACACTCTAAAAAATGCTGGGTTGTTTCAACCCAACTTTGGGTCAAATATGGACTAACCCAGCCGTTGGGTTAATTTTTTACATTCAATTTTTAACCCAAAAGTTGGGTTGAAACAACCCAGCATTTTTTAGAGAGTAGGCAGGCAGGCAGCTTACTACAGTGAGAGAGACAGACTATGAGTGGAAGCTATAATTTAGACATAGACATTTTAAATACTATCTAGTTGAGTTGTTTACAGTTTTATTTGTGGTCATCTAAAAGGCCAATAAGCAATTCATCTGCCCACTAACATTGTAATGTGACACCCATTCTTTCGGGCCATGGATATTTCACTCCAAGTAAAAGATATAAAATACAACTAAATGCGCACAATACATCAGTTATTCATAAAACAAGACTACATGCACTTTCCATTTATAAAAGTAAATGACCTACTTGAATATCAACGTTGTCTAAAATAAGAGAAAATATATAAAAGTAAAAAGCGGTCTCACAGCTCACTCAGTTTCTAATAGTATTATTATTAGGATTAATTTTAGACGATCTTTCAAGCATTCATTAAAACGTATCAATATCTTCTGGTCAAATTCTATTTCAACTAATCAAAGCCCTTTATTGTCAGCGAAAGTCAAACGGGGAAAACCACAAGATTTATTTACTTTTAGTAAATTTTAGATTTAGTCTGAATATGTAACGTTCGGCTAATTTCACAAAGAAACGTATAAGTAGTCCAAAGAGTCACTTACATTATTTCATTGAAGCTCGTCTCGTTGAAGAAGCATTATCTCTCTTCTCCTGTTCGAACAACTTGTGAGAACTTTTGAGAGGCAGCCCACCATCAACTTTCACGCGCCACGCCAGTGATTAACACACACACATATCATCATCGGAGATATGTGTAAATTAATTGCACTATCTATTTTTTAACCTCGGATGAACCTGTTCTCCGAGCAGACAGATGCTGGGTAAAGCGTTAACAAGAGTTTACTAGACAAAACTGTGCTTGTCCAACCGCTGGAGGCAGTTCTCAATAGAGCCCCACCCTTCAGTGAGAGAAATCCCGAGGAGACCCCAAAAAGAAGAAAGAAAGAAATACATGAATACTTTGCATTAGTGTTTGGTACGCACTGTTGCTAGGATTAAAAACAGTGTAGAACAATGTATAATTAAGCATATGATTACTTTATATAAAATGTCTTATTTAGGTATAGGCTAATAATACACACACGTGTGAAGGGAAAAAAAAAAACGAAAAATAGATGAGAAATATAATATTAATATTTTTTTTGTGTAATTTTAAATTAACTATGCATTATATAATTTTTAATTAACTACATTATATTAACTATATATAGGCTACAGTAAACATACACTCGTTAGAAAGACAAGTTGAGCAGAAAACAACAGGAACTGTCTATTGTAATTAGATGCTTCCTGAATATGCACACTGAACTGACCATGTTCAGTCATGCATAGGGCTGAACAGGTTGTGACTAGTAAAAAATGACCCATCATAACATAACTACACTCAGTGTATATTATCTTTAGTGCCTTTGAAATACAATATCATCCCTGTCTTTCAGTTTGCAGGAATACTTACTGCGGCACATTTTACTGTTACTGCCACCTGGAATGATTCAAAAATCAACATTATGAAAAAAAAAAAGCATTTATGACAGTGAAGGAGAAAGTATGGAAGCCTGTTTCTACCATGGAAAAAGGTAATTGTGACGTTTAAAACTTACAATTCTGACTTTTTCTCACAATCCTGAGTTTGTATCTAACTGCGAGATGTTAACTCCCTTGTGAGACACTAAAAAGGAAAGTCCAAATTCTGAGATATAAACTCGTAATTGCAAGAAGAAAAAAAAGATCAGAATGAGATAAAAAGATGCAAATTACCTTTAAAATCTTTTAATTATACTAGTAGTATCAATTTGAGATTCAGAATCTCAACTCAGAATTCTGTGGTCACAATTATGAGATGTAAACTCAGAATTCTGAGGAAAAATATACTGAATTGTGATATGTAAATTTGGAATTGCAAGAAAAAAAGTCATCATTTTGTATCTCGTGATTGTAACTTTTTTATTTTTTAAAGAATAGCGAGTTTATCTGACATGTAAGATAAAAAATTGCAATTACTTTTTTTTTTTTTTAATTCCGTAGCAGAAACAGCTTCAATAAGAAAATGACTGAAAATCTTTTGAATTTAATTCAGCCGAATAATCTGCACACATTTTCAATTTGATATGGTTTATAATTGCCATTGATTTAAGGCTGTCTGTGCAGAGATCCAAAGTTAACACTATTATAATCCTTATTCATGTTCTAACTGCATGTGTGCAATGCTTATTGTTCACATGATTCAATGCATACACCTTGGAAAGCAGCACATTATGACTACATTTAATAATCAACCACCAAACGTGCACTGCAAATGACCAATAAAAGAGCTGACCAAGAAAATATTTATTGTTGTTCAGAGCAATGCATAACTAACAGCAGAAAACAGTTACTATGTAAACTAACTGCAGAATCCTTTCACCCGAAGCATACACATAGAAGTGAACGGAAAGTAGTTAAGGGCAAAATGTCTCTAAAGCTCATATTGCAGAGAGCTTGAGGTAAGATGAGAATTCCTGCTTAAAAGATATCTTGAGACATGCTTCCATGTCCATGCATATCTAACCAAATTGTTGTGAAGCCAGAAAAAAAAAAACATTAAAACACCTCAAGCCATGAATATGTATGAACTCCTCAGAATTTGAAATGGTCTTTCATATGCACCTGATTTTTTAGTGCTGTATCTGTATCTCATCGGTCTAGTAATGAGCAACTATTGACATCCAATATGGCAGTAACAGATGTTGTATTGAGTGATGGGGGGAGGGTCCTGTGGCGTGTCTCTTTTTGATACAGATGGGGCTAAGGAAAAGGCCCTTTTTCAGTTCCTCTGGGCCTCTGATAAAGTGGTTTTAGGGGGGACAGCACAATGGTCTCATTCTTTGCCAGTGGTTAGTAGCTTCAGGGCCTTCTGCAGATTCTGGATGGCAGTGCCCACATCCTCATATTGCAGTGCACTGCCTGCATATTTACAGTATTTCTGAGCCCGAGTGAAGTCTTCTGGTGTGAGCCGCACATCACCTGTAAAAAGAAAATATTTACATGAGTTAAACTTGAGACACAATATATACACACATTACTGTTTAAATTACTGGATAAGTTTAAAAAACAAAACAAATGAACACTTTTATTCAGCAAGGACATATAGAAATGTATCTATTTAAAGTGATAGTGAAGTCATTTACAACTTTTTAAAAGATTATTTAAAAAACAAATCCTGTTCTTTTCAATTGTTTTTTATTAAAAATCCTGAAAAAGTAGCTCTTTTCCCACTTTTTGCACAACAATTGTTAAGCACAACAAAAGTTTTCAACATTTATGACAATAAGAAATGTTTCTTGAGCACCAAATAAGCATATCAGAATGATTTCTGAAGGATCATATGACACTGAAGACTGAAGTAATGGCTGCTGAAAATGCAGCTTTGCCATCACAGGAATAACTTAAAGGGGTCATATGATGCTATTTTAAAGATCATTATTTTGTGTATTTGGTGTAACAGAATAAGTTGACATGCTTTAATGTTCAAAAAACACATTATTGTTCAAATACTGTACATTATTGTAGGTCCTCTATGCCCTGCCTCGCTCAAACACTTAGTTTTCCAACAAAGCCCCCTCCTTTGACAAGCACAGTGTGCTCTGATTGGCCAGCTGACCCAGTGCATTGTGATTGGCCGAATACCACAAGCACGCGTCGGAAATGTAACGCCCCTTACCATAATCGCGAGCTTCAGCTTTCGAAGTAAATAGCAAGACAGTTACTAATGTCGTTAGTTTTACCATCAGTTCAAGCCCGAAAGGGCAACAGAGTCGCGTGACAGACACAGTGATGATGCAGTACACAAGCCGCGGTTAAGATAGCTGACGTGTTAGGATTTCTGACAGGCAGTTCACTCTCCTGTGATGTGACCCTGTTCCCCTCACACACACACACACACACGACGCGTTACTCTGCGCTGCGCAAAACTCCGCATTTGAGCAGTCAATAGCAAATACTTAAACTAATAACAAAACATACTTACAGTCGCTGATCCGAAGCTCCAGATTGTCATAGCAAAGTCGGAATTTACCCCTTTTTTATTTTTAGAAATAGCCTTTGTGCACAGCCAGCCTTGTACTCTTCTAGGCTAAAAAAAAAAAAACCGTTGTCCATAAAATGCGTTGCACAAATTCGAACATCTGGGTTGTGCTGTTCTGTTGTAAATAAATCTTAACCAATGATTCCTAATTGCATCTACTTCCGGAAGGCCAAATAAAGTGCTTTTGCTTTCGCACTGAATCACACAGCGCCTTCTTGACATGGCTGCATCAACACTACTGCGGTTCCTGAAACCACGCCCTCTTTCTTTGCGTGCACATTTGGGCGTCATTATGCTAATATTTCCACATAGTGACGTAGATATGTGAGGGTGTGTTAGAATGAGCCATTTTAGGTAGGTGTGGTTGACTCTTAACTTTTATAAAGAATATCTCTTTGGATTTGAGACTTTAGTCTTTGCAACTTTACAGATCTTCTTTATGCACCAAGAGCTTGTAACACTCCAAAGAGAAAGGAAAACTTGAAATCGCATCATTTGACCTCTTTAACTTAAAGCTGCAGTCCCTAACTTTTTTGTGTTCAAAATTTACAAAATTTATATAATAATCGAGTACACCATGAATCCATTTTCCAAACCGTGTTTTTGGCTTGTCCTGAATCACTATGGTACACCTATAATACGTGTTTATATGCAGATTATTTTAGACTGGTTCCAGTAGGTACCGCTGCAGAGTAGCCCAGTACCTGTGTAATTCCTCATAGACATAAACAGAGAGAAGTAGCTCCGGCTACAATGTTATTCCACAAGACGCACGCAGTTCTGTTTATTAACCGCTAGAGCGCCAAAAGTTACGGACTGCAGCTTTAACTTAACTTAGCTAAAACTTAACTTAATGTTAAAGTAGAAAACATTTATTTTAAATTGCAATAATGTCAAATAATTGTTATTACTGTACTGTTGATTAAATAAATGCAGACTTAGTATAAGGATAAAGATTTAAAAAACTAAATTTAAACTTTTAAACAGTATAGCGTATATTAAGTTATTTAAAAAACTATTAGTAAATATAAAAATGAAATAAATATAACATGAGACAGATATTACCAGAAAGCTTCTCTGCTAGTATTTTAATGATTTCCAGGGGAAAATTCTGGGAAAGCCATGCACCAATTTCACACATGCATGTCTTTCCAGTGCCCACCAGCACATTAAATTATAGGGTGAGATGAGGTTGAGCTAGTTTATGAATACTTAAGTTAAGGCATTTGCCAGTGGGCATATGAAATATTATAGTCATGGTGCACGAATGCCTTTACCACAATGTAAACTTTGCTGGCTCTCACAGTGACACTCTGAGTGACAGTTTGAGCTGAATCCATAATGTGGGAACCAAATAATGAACTGGACAGAGACGACCACCAAAGCACTTGTGAGCTTTCAAAATAGTTTTAGGTACAGCATTTCTGGGAACCTACAAAGATCTCTAGATCCTGTCTCCTCTCCAGTATTAATATTTAACCATAATACATTTTTGCCTCATTCAATAGCACTGCTTGCACCTCGATTAGTACAATATACACACAGTATGGGAAGAGTATAACCACAGAACTATCTCAATTGAAATGCTCGATTTCAAGAACATTTCAACAAGTTACTACACTAGTAATGTTGTGACCTTGGTCGTCATTTATTTTGGCCGTAGAGGGGGTGAAATATGGAACAGAAGGTATATTTGTGCATTTATGGGTCTCAAATTGGTTCATCTTTGTGTCATTCACAAATATTCATCTACTTGTATGCCGATCAATTGAAAAGAACACAGAAATAACTGGAAATGCTTTACGAATTAGTTGAATATTTGAGGCCTGTATGGTTGGTGCAGCTGGACGGAAAGGGTTAGTTCACCCAAAAATGAAAATTATCCTGTGTTTTACTCACACTCAAAGCATCCTAGGTGTATATGGCTTTCTTCTTTCAGACGATTCCAATCAGAGTTATATTAAAAATTGTCCTGGCCCCTCCAATGCTTTGAGGTTGAGTAAAACACAGGCTAATTTTCATTTTTGGGTGAACTAACCTTCACCCAAGACTATAGCTTGATTAGGTCTTTACACGTGACTGCTGGTAAGCACAGGTTCTGTGACGCAAGGATTTGTTTGTTAACTAGGACACATTTCCCAGTTACACTGTAGTAACATGATCCACCCTGGGACTTGTTGTAATTGGTAATTGGTTTGTTATTGTTTGGTGTAGGCAGAGCAGTTGTCTCGGAGGCATGTCGGTATATCAGCTCGTTTGCTGATCTTGTTCATCACTGTCCTGCAAGTACTGATCACCATTAACTACTTTGAAAATAGTGATTAGATCAGCATGAGTTGAGAAAAGGGATTAAATTCATTCAATTCGAAGTCTTTTAACCTATTTATTAGAACGGGAGTAAACCATAAGGATTCAGTATGATATGAGGGGCTGTACAAGCCATAATTCATTCTGGCACTCTCACACACTTACATTCTCCTTTCACATACATATATTTTTGCTTTCACACACTTACATTCTCCTTTCACATGCATACATTTCTACTCTCACACACATACATTCTCCTTTCACATACATGCATTTCTACTCTCTCACACACACACATACATTCTCCTTACATATATTTCTGCTTTCACACGTACATTCTCCTTTTACATACATGCATTTCTACTCTCTCTCACACACACACATACATACATTCTCCTTACATATACATATATTTCTGCTTTCACACGTACATTCTCCTTTTACATACATGCATTTCTACTCTCTCTCACACACACACATACATACATTCTCCTTACATATACATATATTTCTGCTTTCACACGTACATTCTCCTTTTACATACATGCATTTCTACTCTCTCTCACACACACACATACATACATTCTCCTTACATATACATATATTTCTGCTTTCACACGTACATTCTCCTTTTACATACATGCATTTCTACTCTCTCTCACACACACACATACATACATTCTCCTTACATATACATATATTTCTGCTTTCACACGTACATTCTCCTTTTACATACATACATTTCTACCTTTTTTTGGTATCCATTACTTCCTGTTTAAGCAGAAAGTCACTCTCAGACCAGGAAATACACGTGCAAGACTTGCTCAGCTCTTCCTCACAATTTTACAATGATGCTATTCAAAGTCATCCTGTTTTCTTTTCAAATACATATTTTAAGTTTTTAATTTTAAAATATCATTATGTAACCTACGTGTTCTACAGATCTGTGTACAAGTGTTATGATACTGATTTTGATCGTATTGACAGGTCTCAACGCTAAGGACATTTTCTACTGGCCCGGTTTGGCCAGTGATTAAAATTTTTTACTTGCCCTGGCAAAATTTTCCCAGGCCTTGCCACAATCAATCAATCAATAAATAAGACTTATTGTTTTCATTTGTTGACTGTAACATTGTATTGTAATGATAACAATTTTTGCACAAATAGGTACAATAGTTCAAAGATAAAACTGAAATGAACCACGCTTTTTCAGGTCTTTCAGGTAAGTCTAACTCTATTCCAGTTAAGGATGCACTGATCAGGATTTTTCGTGACCGATTCCAATTGACAATTTTTTTTTAACAATCAAATGAGCTGATTCCCATACTCGTTGCCAATTTATTTGAGTTTTTATTACTTTAATTTATTTATTTTTACATTTATTAAATGTTTATTTTGCTCTGTTACTGGCCAAACTAGACTTGAACAAACAAACAAACAAAAATATATGCAACATGAAGCAACTAAACAAAACAAAAACATCAGACGGGATGAATTAATATTTTATTATTACACTTTATTATTATTATTAGTTTTATTACCTTAATTATATGTATGTCTGCACTATGACTGTAGGCTGTACTGGAAGCTCCTGACACCAAGATGAATTCCCTGTGTGTGTAACACACTTGGCAATAAAGCTCTTTCTGATTCTGATGAAAATGCAAATACAATCTCTGAAACCAGGTGTCGCTTATAGAACATAGCAGCGTTTCCAGCATTTATTGCTGTACGTAGCGGTTCGCTTATTAACATTCCTTTAATATTTATTTAACTAAGGTAAGAGGAAAAAGAAAATGCCATCGAAACTTTTCTGAAGACAGTCAGTTCACTTAGTGAAAATAGCAGTCTTTTTTTAGAGCTATCATATGCTATTTACACTAAGTGCAAATTGCTATAGATTATATTTATAGCCACTTATCTAGCAGGGTATTCTGCTAATTCCTTACTGCAAATAGTGGCAATTATCTGCACTTCAGCATTGTAATACATTATAAAACAGTATGCAATAATAACTTGTGTCAATTTTAATTTGAATTCAAATTATTAAATGGATGCCACTATTGGGACATACACCTACACCTACCCGATACTTTATTTTCAACTTTTTGATTATTTCTTTCATTATTAAAAATAAATATTTTCTGATGTTATTTGAAATTTGAAAAGGGAGAAAAAAAAGTTTGCCAAAAGGCAGATTCGAACCCGGGTCGATCGCGTCAAAAAGGAGTTATCATCTGCGCTACTGAATCTGATGATTTATAACCGTCTTTTGTAATGATGACTAGACCAATCAATCACACTTTGGTGGGTGGAATTAATGTAAGCCTCTGCCAACAAGGTGGGCTATTTGCACTTAGTGTAAATAGACACTCCGATTTTTTTTTTTATTCCCAACAATTAAACAGTTAAAGTTGCCCACAGAAAACAGGGGGTGCTGCACACCCACTTCCCGCGCCTATGCTGTCTGTCTGGTGCAGTATTTTCTCTGCTTGCGCGACTATTCTCTCCTCTTTGTGTCCGTCTTCAGCGCATCTGTCTTACAGATAATATATCATGATGATCATTACGTTTGTGTTACCAAATTGCAACCTGCCCGCATTGTTTTTAACCTGGTCGTTTTTGATTACTGTCAGTTTAAATGCCGGCATTGCCAGATATTGAAAAACAAACAAAATCTAAAAATAAATAAACAGCAATCAGTCCAAATCTTGAGTCATGGAAATAATATAAAGATATCGCTGTCCCTAACTTGCAATCTCCCACTTTATTCACTTCCTAAATTAAGTGGAAAAAAAAAACCCATAGACGCGTGTATCTGGCAACACGATTGAGAGTCTCAATCACAACTCCCTCACTAATAACTACTATTACTGCTATTATTATTTTACTATAATTTTTTATTATTTATAACTACTATTTTTTGTCTAACTAATTACAGTATTGAAACAACAATAAATAATATACAAATTGTTTATTATTCATTAATTCTTAGCTTCTGAAAAAAAAAAGTTTTTGTTGCTTGAACAGTTTCTAATCCCTGGTTTCATGGATGAATGCACTCTTTTTACTTTGGTCTGCGCAATATCAAATAAACAGGTTTTTAAATGGGTTCAGATATTGTAACTCTTGGGAGGATGACCCCTACCCAAATCACCTCACCTTCAGATCCTTGTTATCTATCACCGATTAGTGTCTCATGCAGTGCAAACTTTCAATCCAATTAGACAATGTGATAGCCGATATGTTCTCAGAAAGAACTCAATGGTTCAGAAAGGATGGTTTTGAAAAGCAATTTGCAGTATGACAATGCAAACTTTTCACATTGAGGTTATATTTGTGTGTTATCTTCCTTATTTGCCCCTGTCTGGGTACCAGTTACTATAGCAGACAGACTTCAATTAGCCAAAACAATATCAAATGATACTCCGTTTTTAATGAATACACGTCTGGTTGAGCTAGAAAAGCTACTTTTTGTCATCTGAAATTTGTATCTGGACAAATTACATTGTGCATTACAAAATTCTCAGTCTGCTCTATTTCTGGCAATTGCAGCAATAATAGACAGTCATTGTATATGAAATGACCTCACTCATTAGCCAAATTATTCAATTGGCAGGCTGAATGCCAACAGCAGCGTTGGGCACAATCTGTAATAATTCTTATTAAAGGTACATTCCAGTGACACAATGGCTGGTAGTAAGGGAATGTCATTTTGAGCTTCATCTGTGGCCGTTCCCACCAACAATGGAAAGCCAAAAGAGTCAATCTGCTTTCCATAAAACCTTAATTTATTTCAGAAAATCCAGTGCAATGTCTGATTTTTTTCCTCTGGCTTCATGAGCAGAAAATAAGGTCCATCATCTGTGAAATGAGGTTCTATGCTTTCTGTCACGACTGTTTGCGGACTTCAGTGAAATTGGATTTCAGTGTAGAGGAGTCATCTTCAAACAAAAAGCTTACCTTCCTGGGTATTGTTTAGAAGTGAAGGATCGACCACTGGCATGGTTCGTGGAACAGGCACTGGTTTGACGGGCTGTGCTGCTCCAAAAGAAGGAAAAAAGTCCATTAGCTCATAACTATGAAAGCGCTTTTTGCATTTGCAATCATGGCTGATAGGATGTTGAAAAACTGTAATGAATGAATTAACTCGCCCATTTATTTTAGACCGCTGTAACTGATTTAGATGTAGATGCACTCAGCTACAGCTGAGCACAATCTTTCCATGGAAGAAAAGAACAAAAGGTAAATTTTATTTAAAGCAAAGTTCACTTTGGTTTCATCTAAAGAGTCTGAGAGCTGACACAGTGAAAATACAAGAGCAAGGAAATGACAGCATGCTATGTATGATCAAATTAAGTGGTTGCACCTCTGGGGTGCCATGTTGCAGATTAGTCATTTCCGTTTCTGAAAGCCGAAGCACTAATCACAGAGGACAGCAGTTACCAGGGGAAACATGCCCCTCATGGGGACCCTCAGCCTGCCTTTCTGCGCTTTAGAAAGAAAAACAGGAACCCTGAACGTGAAATATACAAGCAAACACGCTACAGCTCTGTCCCAGTCCTCTGAGAAGTACTAATTAACCTGTACGTTTGAGTCACGGGATTTGTGTTATGAATGACAATCAGTTTTCATCAATCGCTGCCCACACAAACTGAGCAAATACTGATTTTAAATTTTATCAAATGCATGGCTGTCCATAAACAAGAAAAAAAAACATGATTCCTAAGTACACAAAGATTTTGTAAGAGCAGTAATATTGTAATATATTATTACAATTTAAAATAACTATTTCCTATTTTGATATATTTAAAAATATAATTTTTTTTTTTTATTTCAAAGCTGAATTTTCAGCAGCCATTACTCCAGTCTTTAATGCTACATGATTTGGTGCTCAAGAAACATTTCTTACTATTATCAATGTTAAAACAGTTGTGCTGTGCAACAGTGATATATTTTTTTCCCGATTCTCTGATGAATAGAAAGAGCACACGAACAGCATCTACTTGAAATATTTTTTTTTGTATAATTATAAATGTGTTTTTAATGTCACTTCCTAACAATTTAATGCATCCTTGCTGAATAAAAGTATTAATTTCTTACTTACCCCAAACTTTTCAATAGTATTGTATAGTGGAAGCATGGCAGATGGTTATAAAGTACACTTAAGCTCAGCTAGCTTACCTTCTGGATGGGGAATCTCTGCAGGTGTATTGGCTGGGGCGTGAGACCCAGGAGGTATCTGAATATTACTGAAATTGGATGCTGGGGGTTGATTTGATGGGTGGCCGTGGAAAGAAGGCTGAGATTGGGGTGGATTGTGAGGAGCTTCTGAAGGACCACCACCCTCTGCACCAAATTCATCATCTAAAGTAAAGAGGAAAAAAACAAGCAAATATGTTCACGCAAACAGCATTAAGCGTTGTCAACATTAAGCTTGTGAAAGCGTCCAGAAAGTTCAACTTTGTTTTGGGAGCACTGATAAAACCAATGCAATTCAGAATGAAGTTATCCTTCCTGGAGTCATTTTTCCACAACTAATGGAGCTCTGAACTGTCTGCTGCCAGCACTAATCAGACTTTTCAGTTTTCTCACATTATCCCATTCAGTGCTGAAAAGATGCCTATGTTCACAACATTTTTTTTCTCACATAAGTTTATCACGAATACAAATCATGGAACAAATGAGTCTCACTGCCAGTCAAACTGTTTGAGGGCTTTAGTTGTAAAAGCCTTTTTGAAGAGGTTGCTTCAATCGGAAAATATCAGGGCCACTTCCTGTAGTCAAGGAGAGACTTGGCAGCACAGGGAAACAAACACTACACAAAAATGTGAAATTTGGACACGCAGAATTTTATCAGCCGAATCTATTATGCAAGTGACATTTTAGCATGACTTGATTTAAGCTTGAAACATTTTTGCTCCTCAAAACCCTGGAATAAGTTGATGAGGACAGCCATTACACGGAACCAATTCCAATCAATTGCAAGCTGAACCCTAAGACACCCCAAACTGAGTGATGAATATAAATAAACAGAACAAGGGGGGAAAAAAAAGGCAAGAAATTTCAATAAACTGCGGCTGGGTTCTTCTATTTGAAATTTAACAACCATACCACATTCATAATGTTTCTAAAACCCCTGGGCAGATTTGATTTCGCAAAAATATTATATTACAGTAAAACACAGTTTAGAGGTTAGCACCATATGTATTTGCCTGCATCAGCAAAATTTAATAACAAGGTAAAACTTCAATATAACATTTCTTCACAGGGAACAACTAAATGAAGCATATGAAAAACACATTTCCAAATTAGCTTGATTTAAACATGCTTTTTTGACGACTTTCCTTTCCCCAGACATGTGTCAGGGGGTTTATTTTCATAATCGGCGGTGAAATAATAAGGGTGGGGCAAGTCAAACAAACATTGTGCTATTATGAAAATATGGCCTTCATATCGTTTCTGTGCAGAGGGGCTTGATCGGCCAAAGATTAGGGGGATTCCTGGTCAATCCTGGAGGAGAGTTTTGTTCTCAGAACGATGCTGTAGGCAGATGAGGAATTGTGAAAAAGGCCATGAAAGTTGACCTATGACCACGAAAGTCTAGACTTGAGATAGCTTTGTACTGCTATAGTGAAAAGACAGGTTGTGATTACACAAGGATAGCGCCACAAAAAAGCCATCCCTTCTGTTCTTAAGAGCAATAATCCACACTGGATGAAGAGCTGACCTATGCGTGAATAACCTCTGGAGAAAACTCTGAACACCTGAATATATATCATGCTTTCCCTGTGAGCAATGAGGGAAATAAATACCAGCCATGTATAACAAACTACACAGTACATAGAAAATTAATGTTCATTTTGTCTATACGAGTAATCCACATATAATTCAAACGAGCACCAGACCCCCTCTAAACAGTGTTGAGTGCTGTAGACCTGGATAAAAATTCCGATAAATTCCTGTCCGATAAATCAGCAAGAAAAGTAAAAGCTGATTAACCCCTTAGCTGTCAAAGATAGGCAATGGCCCCAGATTATTTATTATTATTTTATTATTTATTATTATAGTAGTTTCAGAGTTTTGAGTAAAAGTGTACTAATAATCTCATAAATTGTCTTATGTAGCTTGATGCTAATGTTAGCTCTAATGCAGCTGCAGAACAGGTGCAGATCTTCTTCATAATATATTTTGTCAATAATCTTGCTCAGCTCTTCCTCACAATTTTACAATGATGCTGTTCAAAGTCATCCTGTATTCTTTTCAAGTACATATTTTAAGTTTTTAATTTTAAAATATCATTATGTAACCTACGTGTTCTACAGATCTGTGTACAAGTGTTATGATACTGATTTTGATCGTATTGACAGGTCTCAACGCTAAGGACATTTTCTACTGGCCCGGTTTGGCCAGTGATTAAAATTTTTTACTTGCCCTGGCAAAATTTTCCCAGGCCTTGCCACAATCAATCAATCAATAAATAAGACTTATTGTTTTCATTTGTTGACTGTAACATTGTATTGTAATGATAACAATTTTTGCACAAATAGGTACAATAGTTCAAAGATAAAACTGAAATGAACCACGCTTTTTCAGGTCTTTCAGGTAAGTCTAACTCTATTCCAGTTAAGGATGCACTGATTAGGATTTTTCGTGACCGATTCCAATTGACAATTTTTTTTTAACAATCAAATGAGCTGATTCCCATACTCGTTGCCAATTTATTTGAGTTTTTATTACTTTAATTTATTTATTTTTACATTTATTAAATGTTTATTTTGCTCTGTTACTGGCCAAACTAGACTTGAACAAACAAACAAACAAAAATATATGCAACATGAAGCAACTAAACAAAACAAAAACATCAGACGGGATGAATTAATATTTTATTATTACACTTTATTATTATTATTAGTTTTATTACCTTAATTATATGTATGTCTGCACTATGACTGTAGGCTGTACTGGAAGCTCCTGACACCAAGATGAATTCCCTGTGTGTGTAACACACTTGGCAATAAAGCTCTTTCTGATTCTGATGAAAATGCAAATACAATCTCTGAAACCAGGTGTCGCTTATAGAACATAGCAGCGTTTCCAGCATTTATTGCTGTACGTAGCGGTTCGCTTATTAACATTCCTTTAATATTTATTTAACTAAGGTAAGAGGAAAAAGAAAATGCCATCGAAACTTTTCTGAAGACAGTCAGTTCACTTAGTGAAAATAGCAGTCTTTTTTTAGAGCTATCATATGCTATTTACACTAAGTGCAAATAGCTATAGATTATATTTATAGCCACTTATCTAGCAGGGTATTCTGCTAATTCCTTACTGCAAATAGTGGCAATTATCTGCACTTCAGCATTGTAATACATTATAAAACAGTATGCAATAATAACTTGTCAATTTTAATTTGTGCTATTTACACTAAGTGCAAATAGCTATAGATTATATTTATAGCCACTTATCTAGCAGGGTATTCTGCTAATTCCTTACTGCAAATAGTGGCAATTATCTGCACTTCAGCATTGTAATACATTATAAAACAGTATGCAATAATAACTTGTGTCAATTTTAATTTGAATTCAAATTATTAAATGGATGCCACTATTGGGACATACACCTACACCTACCCGATACTTTATTTTCAACTTTTTGATTATTTCTTTCATTATTAAAAATAAATATTTTCTGATGTTATTTGAAATTTGAAAAGGGAGAAAAAAAAGTTTGCCAAAAGGCAGATTCGAACCCGGGTCGATCGCGTCAAAAAGGAGTTATCATCTGCGCTACTGAATCTGATGATTTATAACCGTCTTTTGTAATGATGACTAGACCAATCAATCACACTTTGGTGGGTGGAATTAATGTAAGCCTCTGCCAACAAGGTGGGCTATTTGCACTAAGTGTAAATAGACACTCCAATTTTTTTTTTTTATTCCCAACAGTTAAACAGTTAAAGTTGCCCACAGAAAAAACACCCACTTCCCGCGCCTATTTTCTGATGTTATTTGAAATTTGAAAAGGGAGAAAAAAAAGTTTGCCAAAAGGCAGATTCGAACCCGGGTCGATCGCGTCAAAAAGGAGTTATCATCTGCGCTACTGAATCTGATGATTTATAACCGTCTTTTGTAATGATGACTAGACCAATCAATCACACTTTGGTGGGTGGAATTAATGTAAGCCTCTGCCAACAAGGTGGGCTATTTGCACTTAGTGTAAATAGACACTCCGATTTTTTTTTTTATTCCCAACAATTAAACAGTTAAAGTTGCCCACAGAAAACAGGGGGTGCTGCACACCCACTTCCCGCGCCTATGCTGTCTGTCTGGTGCAGTATTTTCTCTGCTTGCGCGACTATTCTCTCCTCTTTGTGTCCGTCTTCAGCGCATCTGTCTTACAGATAATATATCATGATGATCATTACGTTTGTGTTACCAAATTGCAACCTGCCCGCATTGTTTTTAACCTGGTCGTTTTTGATTACTGTCAGTTTAAATGCCGGCATTGCCAGATATTGAAAAACAAACAAAATCTAAAAATAAATAAACAGCAATCAGTCCAAATCTTGAGTCATGGAAATAATATAAAGATATCGCTGTCCCTAACTTGCAATCTCCCACTTTATTCACTTCCTAAATTAAGTGGAAAAAAAAAACCCATAGACGCGTGTATCTGGCAACACGATTGAGAGTCTCAATCACAACTCCCTCACTAATAACTACTATTACTGCTATTATTATTTTACTATAATTTTTTATTATTTATAACTACTATTTTTTGTCTAACTAATTACAGTATTGAAACAACAATAAATAATATACAAATTGTTTATTATTCATTAATTCTTAGCTTCTGAAAAAAAAAAGTTTTTGTTGCTTGAACAGTTTCTAATCCCTGGTTTCATGGATGAATGCACTCTTTTTACTTTGGTCTGCGCAATATCAAATAAACAGGTTTTTAAATGGGTTCAGATATTGTAACTCTTGGGAGGATGACCCCTACCCAAATCACCTCACCTTCAGATCCTTGTTATCTATCACCGATTAGTGTCTCATGCAGTGCAAACTTTCAATCCAATTAGACAATGTGATAGCCGATATGTTCTCAGAAAGAACTCAATGGTTCAGAAAGGATGGTTTTGAAAAGCAATTTGCAGTATGACAATGCAAACTTTTCACATTGAGGTTATATTTGTGTGTTATCTTCCTTATTTGCCCCTGTCTGGGTACCAGTTACTATAGCAGACAGACTTCAATTAGCCAAAACAATATCAAATGATACTCCGTTTTTAATGAATACACGTCTGGTTGAGCTAGAAAAGCTACTTTTTGTCATCTGAAATTTGTATCTGGACAAATTACATTGTGCATTACAAAATTCTCAGTCTGCTCTATTTCTGGCAATTGCAGCAATAATAGACAGTCATTGTATATGAAATGACCTCACTCATTAGCCAAATTATTTAATTGGCAGGCTGAATGCCAACAGCAGCGTTGGGCACAATCTGTAATAATTCTTATTAAAGGTACATTCCAGTGACACAATGGCTGGTAGTAAGGGAATGTCATTTTGAGCTTCATCTGTGGCCGTTCCCACCAACAATGGAAAGCCAAAAGAGTCAATCTGCTTTCCATAAAACCTTAATTTATTTCAGAAAATCCAGTGCAATGTCTGATTTTTTTCCTCTGGCTTCATGAGCAGAAAATAAGGTCCATCATATCTGTGAAATGAGGTTCTATGCTTTCTGTCACGACTGTTTGCGGACTTCAGTGAAATTGGATTTCAGTGTAGAGGAGTCATCTTCAAACAAAAAGCTTACCTTCCTGGGTATTGTTTAGAAGTGAAGGATCGACCACTGGCATGGTTCGTGGAACAGGCACTGGTTTGACGGGCTGTGCTGCTCCAAAAGAAGGAAAAAAGTCCATTAGCTCATAACTATGAAAGCGCTTTTTGCATTTGCAATCATGGCTGATAGGATGTTGAAAAACTGTAATGAATGAATTAACTCGCCCATTTATTTTAGACCGCTGTAACTGATTTAGATGTAGATGCACTCAGCTACAGCTGAGCACAATCTTTCCATGGAAGAAAAGAACAAAAGGTAAATTTTATTTAAAGCAAAGTTCACTTTGGTTTCATCTAAAGAGTCTGAGAGCTGACACAGTGAAAATACAAGAGCAAGGAAATGACAGCATGCTATGTATGATCAAATTAAGTGGTTGCACCTCTGGGGTGCCATGTTGCAGATTAGTCATTTCCGTTTCTGAAAGCCGAAGCACTAATCACAGAGGACAGCAGTTACCAGGGGAAACATGCCCCTCATGGGGACCCTCAGCCTGCCTTTCTGCGCTTTAGAAAGAAAAACAGGAACCCTGAACGTGAAATATACAAGCAAACACGCTACAGCTCTGTCCCAGTCCTCTGAGAAGTACTAATTAACCTGTACGTTTGAGTCACGGGATTTGTGTTATGAATGACAATCAGTTTTCATCAATCGCTGCCCACACAAACTGAGCAAATACTGATTTTAAATTTTATCAAATGCATGGCTGTCCATAAACAAGAAAAAAAAACATGATTCCTAAGTACACAAAGATTTTGGTAAGATTTTGTAAGAGCAGTAATATTGTAATATATTATTACAATTTAAAATAACTATTTCCTATTTTGATATATTTAAAAATATAATTTTTTTTTTTTATTTTCGCCCATTTATTTTAGACCGCTGTAACTGATTTAGATGTAGATGCACTCAGCTACAGCTGAGCACAATCTTTCCATGGAAGAAAAGAACAAAAGGTAAATTTTATTTAAAGCAAAGTTCACTTTGGTTTCATCTAAAGAGTCTGAGAGCTGACACAGTGAAAATACAAGAGCAAGGGAATGACAGCATGCTATGTATGATCAAATTAAGTGGTTGCACCTCTGGGGTGCCATGTTGCAGATTAGTCATTTCCGTTTCTGAAAGCCGAAGCACTAATCACAGAGGACAGCAGTTACCAGGGGAAACATGCCCCTCATGGGGACCCTCAGCCTGCCTTTCTGCGCTTTAGAAAGAAAAACAGGAACCCTGAACGTGAAATATACAAGCAAACACGCTACAGCTCTGTCCCAGTCCTCTGAGAAGTACTAATTAACCTGTACGTTTGAGTCACGGGATTTGTGTTATGAATGACAATCAGTTTTCATCAATCGCTGCCCACACAAACTGAGCAAATACTGATTTTAAATTTTATCAAATGCATGGCTGTCCATAAACAAGAAAAAAAAACATGATTCCTAAGTACACAAAGATTTTGGTAAGATTTTGTAAGAGCAGTAATATTGTAATATATTATTACAATTTAAAATAACTATTTCCTATTTTGATATATTTAAAAATATATATATTTTTTTTATTTCAAAGCTGAATTTTCAGCAGCCATTACTCCAGTCTTTAATGCTACATGATTTGGTGCTCAAGAAACATTTCTTACTATTATCAATGTTAAAACAGTTGTGCTGTGCAACAGTGATATATTTTTTTCCCGATTCTCTGATGAATAGAAAGAGCACACGAACAGCATCTACTTGAAATATTTTTTTTTGTATAATTATAAATGTGTTTTTAATGTCACTTCCTAACAATTTAATGCATCCTTGCTGAATAAAAGTATTAATTTCTTACTTACCCCAAACTTTTCAATAGTATTGTATAGTGGAAGCATGGCAGATGGTTATAAAGTACACTTAAGCTCAGCTAGCTTACCTTCTGGATGGGGAATCTCTGCAGGTGTATTGGCTGGGGCGTGAGACCCAGGAGGTATCTGAATATTACTGAAATTGGATGCTGGGGGTTGATTTGATGGGTGGCCGTGGAAAGAAGGCTGAGATTGGGGTGGATTGTGAGGAGCTTCTGAAGGACCACCACCCTCTGCACCAAATTCATCATCTAAAGTAAAGAGGAAAAAAACAAGCAAATATGTTCACGCAAACAGCATTAAGCGTTGTCAACATTAAGCTTGTGAAAGCGTCCAGAAAGTTCAACTTTGTTTTGGGAGCACTGATAAAACCAATGCAATTCAGAATGAAGTTATCCTTCCTGGAGTCATTTTTCCACAACTAATGGAGCTCTGAACTGTCTGCTGCCAGCACTAATCAGACTTTTCAGTTTTCTCACATTATCCCATTCAGTGCTGAAAAGATGCCTATGTTCACAACATTTTTTTTCTCACATAAGTTTATCACGAATACAAATCATGGAACAAATGAGTCTCACTGCCAGTCAAACTGTTTGAGGGCTTTAGTTGTAAAAGCCTTTTTGAAGAGGTTGCTTCAATCGGAAAATATCAGGGCCACTTCCTGTAGTCAAGGAGAGACTTGGCAGCACAGGGAAACAAACACTACACAAAAATGTGAAATTTGGACACGCAGAATTTTATCAGCCGAATCTATTATGCAAGTGACATTTTAGCATGACTTGATTTAAGCTTGAAACATTTTTGCTCCTCAAAACCCTGGAATAAGTTGATGAGGACAGCCATTACACGGAACCAATTCCAATCAATTGCAAGCTGAACCCTAAGACACCCCAAACTGAGTGATGAATATAAATAAACAGAACAAGGGGGGGAAAAAAAGGCAAGAAATTTCAATAAACTGCGGCTGGGTTCTTCTATTTGAAATTTAACAACCATACCACATTCATAATGTTTCTAAAACCCCTGGGCAGATTTGATTTCGCAAAAATATTATATTACAGTAAAACACAGTTTAGAGGTTAGCACCATATGTATTTGCCTGCATCAGCAAAATTTAATAACAAGGTAAAACTTCAATATAACATTTCTTCACAGGGAACAACTAAATGAAGCATATGAAAAACACATTTCCAAATTAGCTTGATTTAAACATGCTTTTTTGACGACTTTCCTTTCCCCAGACATGTGTCAGGGGGTTTATTTTCATAATCGGCGGTGAAATAATAAGGGTGGGGCAAGTCAAACAAACATTGTGCTATTATGAAAATATGGCCTTCATATCGTTTCTGTGCAGAGGGGCTTGATCGGCCAAAGATTAGGGGGATTCCTGGTCAATCCTGGAGGAGAGTTTTGTTCTCAGAACGATGCTGTAGGCAGATGAGGAATTGTGAAAAAGGCCATAAAAGTTGACCTATGACCACGAAAGTCTAGACTTGAGATAGCTTTGTACTGCTATAGTGAAAAGACAGGTTGTGATTACACAAGGATAGCGCCACAAAAAAGCCATCCCTTCTGTTCTTAAGAGCAATAATCCACACTGGATGAAGAGCTGACCTATGCGTGAATAACCTCTGGAGAAAACTCTGAACACCTGAATATATATCATGCTTTCCCTGTGAGCAATGAGGGAAATAAATACCAGCCATGTATAACAAACTACACAGTACATAGAAAATTAATGTTCATTTTGTCTATACGAGTAATCCACATATAATTCAAACGAGCACCAGACCCCCTCTAAACAGTGTTGAGTGCTGTAGACCTGGATAAAAATTCCGATAAATTCCTGTCCGATAAATCAGCAAGAAAAGTAAAAGCTGATTAACCCCTTAGCTGTCAAAGATAGGCAATGGCCCCAGATTATTTATTATTATTTTATTATTTATTATTATAGTAGTTTCAGAGTTTTGAGTAAAAGTGTACTAATAATCTCATAAATTGTCTTATGTAGCTTGATGCTAATGTTAGCTCTAATGCAGCTGCAGAACAGGTGCAGATCTTCTTCATAATATATTTTGTCAATAATTGATGCAAGGTTGCAAGAAAATGTTTTGTATTTTTTTTTTAGAAATACTTTTGATAATAGGCAGGTAAATGTATACTCGGATTGAAGCGATGTGGCTTGGTAAACCTTGTAATGCCAGAATAAAGGCTACTAATGGCTGAATAATACAAAAGAGCTAATGTTAGCTCTAATGCAGCTGCAGAACAGGTGCAGATCTTCTTCATAATATATTTTGTCAATAATTGATGCAAGGTTGCAAGAAAATGTTTTGTATTTTTTTTTTAGAAATACTTTTGATAATAGGCAGGTAAATGTATACTCGGATTGAAGCGATGTGGCTTGGTAAACCTTGTAATGCCAGAATAAAGGCTACTAATGGCTGAATAAAACAAAAGAATAATGATAAAGGAATAATGAGGATAATGTCTCGTACCTGGCGGAGGTGTGACAACAACAGAATCATGAATGGGGCAGTTTGCCGAGCCAGACATGAGGCGACAGCACGCAGGAGAGCTTACATGGGGCCATAAATCAATTTTATTAGCCTTCTCTAAAAACATGCGACATGGTCTTCGAACATGTTTTATAAAATTCAGTTTTAGAGATTATGTCCTGAAATTTGAAATGAAGCATTAGTAGACGTGTGGCTTTAGCTTCATTGTGTTTCTAAAAGCATTAACCACAGCAACATATTTTTTTTATACATTTAAAAAATGTTTTTTAAAATATTTTTATTTTTATGTTTGAGCTTATATATCTCTATTATCATAACAGTCTGAGTAATTCTGATTCTTGAACAGTAAACATTGAGGTGTCAGCTTTGTGTACATATGTTGATTATGTATCTAGTCAGAAAGACTGATGAGCAGCAACTTTTTTATTTTGGGTATGTCATTTGTGATCCATGCTGAAAATAGGGGGGTGACAGCAAAGTGGTTAAAAAGAAAACGAAAGGTTGTAACCAATGACAAAAATTAAACAGTAAATAAGCGGATTTATTACTTACTTGTTGTAATGCTTACTTGTTGCAGGACTTATCACTGTGACTTACTGATGTTTTGTAAAGTTTTTTTGTGTTTTATTGATTAATCAGTGTGCTACCATTTCCGGGTACTTGAGTACTTGAGTGCCAATCCATAATACAGATCCTACCTTTCACTGCCCAGTGCATAAGAAAGATTGATCTGTTAAACTTATTTTAAAACTCCATTAAAGTTCTCACTAATGAAAACACTCCGAAAGCTTTGTTTTAAGTAGGAAGGTGATGGAGAGGGAGTCAGCATTGGCTCTAGCGCACTATGGATTTGTAAAAGTCAACATGAGGATTAAGAGAAGCTCTCTCTGCAAATATGTCTCTTTATTTATTATTGATCTGCGCTGATAGCTGAATTCTCAAAGTTTCAATGGGTGTGCTCAACCGAACACTACAGCTGCTGGCCAAAAATTGTGACCTACATTACACTTAAAAGAAAAATGTATTCTGTGCTAATTAGTGACAGGGAGGGAATGAATAAATTGTGAACAGATGGAATTGATTTAACATGCAAGATGAATTGCTTAGAATGTTGCAGTCATGTTCGTCTGGAAAAGTATGGAGGGAAAAGTCATTTGTGGAATTGTAAAATGTATGCAACACTTGAGGAAATACTGCAATAGGAGGGAGATGCTGTAATAATAAAAACTAGCAGCAATCAGAGTTGTCATGGGTGATTTAATTCGCAAGGGCAAAAGGGCATCATTATCAGGAGTAATTAAATATGAAGCATGTCCAAATCACGTTTTGCAATCAGTCATGCTACATAAAGTTATAATGTTATACATAATCATACTGTACATGTATACACGTTCATGCTTGTTATATTTGTCTCAATTTAGGCCAACCCTGGTTATATAATCGACTTAATGCAAACCAATTCAAATCCAAAGGTTACTACAAAAGAGTAATTTAGACAATGACTTCAGCATGTCTAGAGCATGTTCTTCACTGACTTTTTAAACCTCTCATTTTTCCCAGCTGTACTTGTCCTGACACCAGAGCCCATTTGAGTTTGACCTTAATTTCTCAACGGGCTAAAATAAAGAGCCCCTTACTTTCCATGGAGTCATGGCACGGGTGCAAATCCTGCTCCAGGAAACGAACAGCTACTGGTGTAAACACTGTAGATGAGTCTTAGGAATAGTATACTAATTGAGAAAGTTGTTACAGATCAGTTCTCTTTCCTTCAAATAATCCTTTTTCCCATGCCCGAGGCGTGCTTGCTGTGCATATATTCCAGTAAGTGGGAAAGCCAAACTCATATGGCGAGGAGACAATACCACTATGGTTCCTAAAGGAATATTCCACATTCAACACAACTTAAGTTCAACCAGCAGTTGTAGCATAATGCGAAAGCTTTGTTTTAAGTAGGAAGGTGATGGAGAGGGAGTCAGCATTGGCTCTAGCGCACTATGGATTTGTAAAAGTCAACATGAGGATTAAGAGAAGCTCTCTCTGCAAATATGTCTCTTTATTTATTATTGATCTGCGCTGATAGCTGAATTCTCAAAGTTTCAATGGGTGTGCTCAACCGAACACTACAGCTGCTGGCCAAAAATTGTGACCTACATTACACTTAAAAGAAAAATGTATTCTGTGCTAATTAGTGACAGGGAGGGAATGAATAAATTGTGAACAGATGGAATTGATTTAACATGCAAGATGAATTGCTTAGAATGTTGCAGTCATGTTCGTCTGGAAAAGTATGGAGGGAAAAGTCATTTGTGGAATTGTAAAATGTATGCAACACTTGAGGAAATACTGCAATAGGAGGGAGATGCTGTAATAATAAAAACTAGCAGCAATCAGAGTTGTCATGGGTGATTTAATTCGCAAGGGCAAAAGGGCATCATTATCAGGAGTAATTAAATATGAAGCATGTCCAAATCACGTTTTGCAATCAGTCATGCTACATAAAGTTATAATGTTATACATAATCATACTGTACATGTATACACGTTCATGCTTGTTATATTTGTCTCAATTTAGGCCAACCCTGGTTATATAATCGACTTAATGCAAACCAATTCAAATCCAAAGGTTACTACAAAAGAGTAATTTAGACAATGACTTCAGCATGTCTAGAGCATGTTCTTCACTGACTTTTTAAACCTCTCATTTTTCCCAGCTGTACTTGTCCTGACACCAGAGCCCATTTGAGTTTGACCTTAATTTCTCAACGGGCTAAAATAAAGAGCCCCTTACTTTCCATGGAGTCATGGCACGGGTGCAAATCCTGCTCCAGGAAACTAACAGCTACTGGTGTAAACACTGTAGATGAGTCTTAGGAATAGTATACTAATTGAGAAAGTTGTTACAGATCAGTTCTCTTTCCTTCAAATAATCCTTTTTCCCATGCCCCGAGGCGTGCTTGCTGTGCATATATTCCAGTAAGTGGGAAAGCCAAACTCATATGGCGAGGAGACAATACCACTATGGTTCCTAAAGGAATATTCCACATTCAACACAACTTAAGTTCAACCAGCAGTTGTAGCATAATGTTGATTACCACAAATAATAATTTTGACTCATGTTTCCTTTTTTTTAACCCTCATGTTGTGTTAGTCATTTTAACCTAGAAAAGATCTTCTTTTTCCCAAAAATCCTAGTTAAAGTTACAGCATTGGGCTAAAACCTACTGACTTTGCTCACACAGGGTGTAACAACTGCCCAAAAAGATTTGACAATTTTTGCACTACCTTGTTATACTTGTGGTGCTCCTAGTCAAAAATGACCAGCCTACAATATTGCTTATAAATGTCTTGTTATATTATTATAAAATATCACATCCACATCTTTTTATCATCTTGTTTTCTTGTATTTGTTCTCGGAACTGATTTATTATAGGTCTCATTAATCTGATCTTATGCATCTCAGTTTTTGAGTGAATATTGCCAAAAGCATCCGAAAAGGTTTTTTTTATTTTTTATTTATTTTTTATCACTTAAAGTTGCATAAGCTCAAATCAATGAGGCCTATACCAATCAGTTCCAAAAAGAAATACAAAACCTGTACAAAAATGACCAGCCTACAATATTGCTTATAAATGTCTTGTTATATTATTATAAAATATCACATCCACATCTTTTTATCATCTTGTTTTCTTGTATTTGTTCTCGGAACTGATTTATTATAGGTCTCATTAATCTGATCTTATGCATCTCAGTTTTTGAGTGAATATTGCCAAAATCATCCGAAAAGTTTTTTTAGTTATCACTTTAAGGTGCATAAGCTCAAATCAATGAGGCCTATACCAATCAGTTCCAAAAAGAAATACAAAACCTGTATTAACTGAAAGAAAAGTTCACAAAAAGATTGAATCCAACATAAGTCATAATATAGCATAATGACAGATTTACAATCAATTTTTAAAAGGCCAGTCATTTTTGACCAGGACACCAAAAGTAGGTAAAGGATTTTCAGCACAGCATGTTCCTTGGACATTACTTAACTTAAAATATAAAATTCTACCAACTAAAACACTCTACTTTGTTAGACTTTGTTAATGGAAACAATTGCTTTTGGAAAAACACAGTGATCAATTTCAAGTCCTTGAGGAGCAAAACTCTGTCTGCCTTCTTCATATGCAGTAATAAGATGAATGCACTGTCATACTGGGATCCCGCATACACAGGAACAACTTGACTTAACTGCTAAGGACAATAGAAAACGAACAGTTAATCAGCTGACCCGATGCAGGTCTGACCTCAAACAAGGTCTGGTGTTCGTTATACAGCAAATAAACATCTTAGCATATTGTTATAATCATTTTTCGAAGGGACTTCCTTGAAAAAGGCAATTTGACGGACATATGGAACGAGAAAAATCGGTGATAAGGTGCTTAAACTCCGCAAGGCAAAAGCATGCTATCATTTTTCTCTTGGTAATGCTGCACATCAGTGGGAATAACCAAGCATGAGGTCACTACTTAACAAGAGGGGTCCAGCTGCTAGATGTAAAGCTCAAGAAATCTAATTAAAATGCCATTAAAACATGAAGAAACACTTGACATGGGTTTGTGACAGCAGTTAAAAATAAAACAGCTTGCACAGAATAAAACCCAGTGATGATACAGGCAACATCATACAAATATTACATACTACAGAAACATACTGTGCATGCATGTGTATGTCCCAACGGCTCAGTCTACAGATTACTTCATCTCTGACATGAGCAGGTCAGGTCAAAAGCAGCACGCCCAGCAGATGTGGAGGGGAGAGTGATCTAACTGAATCCCATCGCCAAGCACTATTTTGACCTCCACATGAATGAGGAAAATTCTTCAGTCTTAAACATAAGCAACCTTCTAAAATACATTATCTGACAGTCAAACGGTCACATTTTCATATAATCCCTAAACAAGATACAATTCATAATGAAACTGCAACTAATAGCAGGATCAATCTTTAGATGACTAACTGCAAACGGCTTTCTCAAGTAGATTAATTTGTATATTCTACTTTATAAATATGCTATATTACAGACCTATTTAACTGGCAGCCCACTTAGCAAAAGTTTCATGGCCCGCTTGAGGCCCCCATTTCTCTTAGACTGCTTTAATTGCTGTGAAAATATGGTATTGCATGCACTCCGTGGAGAATTATGTGTGTCAACTGTCAATGGCACAGTTTTAAAATCGGTGAGGCATCATTTACAATCTCATCAAAACTGAAAAAAAAAAGACAATGAAAACCACCAGTTCCAAGCAGAACAGGATGAAATCAGGATTGCACTAATGAATGCAATTTGCTCTCAACCAGTGCATTTATTATGCAACGAAACTGTAACTATAATGAAAGAGTACAATGTGAAGATAATGGCACTATAAAATAGAGGCATTGCTCTTGAATCAGTCTACTTGCAATAAGTCAGATATATTCTCTTTGTTATAGACAAATTTTGAAAGCCAATTTGTTGTATTTTTTCAGAATTCCCTCCTAGGTGGGAATGGTTGTCATGAATAATGCAAAAAGTTATAAAAACAGCTATATTCTTTTAAATGATCAAAAACATTAATGCAACTGTTCTCTGCTGCTTTCATTCACAAAATATTCTAGCTCGGGCTTGCCCCAATGAATGTTTCGTTTGGCCAACTTCTTGATGAAGTTGAATAGCCCCGATATATGCTATTGGCACGGCCATGGCGTTCTACGCCTGGTGATCATTAATTTAAATTTAAATAAAGTTTCAAGACAAAATGGGTTTGGTATTGCTATTGTGTAAACACTTTAGAATGAAATTACCTTTTCCTTTCCAAATGTCCAAATTAAAACATTGGCCTTATGTAACTCCATACAAAATCACTGAATTAACCATTCTAATTTTTATTATAGAGTAACATAAGCAACCTATTAAAGGGATCATATGATGTTGCTAAAAAGAACGTTATTTTGTGTATTTGGTGTAATGAAATGTGTTTATGCGGTTTAAGGTTCAAAACACACATTATTTTTCCACATACTGTACATTATTGTTTCTCCTCTATGCCCCGCCTTTCTGAAACGCACCGATTTTTACAAAGCTTATCGATCTGAAAAGCAAGGTGTGCTCTGATTGGCTAGCTATCCAGTGCATCAAGCATGTGACGGAAATGTTACGCCCCTTACCATACTGTGATGCCATGTCCGGCCGGAGGGACGAGACAAAAACAATAAAACCCAGTATAAACGAGGCATTTGTTGCATCCAGTGGGGACATAATTACTGATTATAATGACTTATACTGTCTTTTTACACGTTGCATTGCGTATCGCGCCGCGTAAACATAAAACCATGTCTGCATTTGTGATCGGAGAAATGACAAACAACAAGCGCTACTCTACACTGCTCAAAACTCGCGTTTGAATCATCAGTGGCAAATTCTTTAAATATGAAAACGTACTTACAGACTATGAGTCAGAACAGCCGGCATTGTAGTCTACTCTTCCAGGATCAGGAAACAGTCCTCCATAAAATGGGCTGCACACATCTGAATATTTGGGTTGAACTGTTCTGGAACAGTGTTGGAAATACAACTTAACCACTGATTTTTGAGTGTCCTCTTTTGGAAGGCCAAACAAAATATTTTCGCTTTCGCAACGAAACACACAGCGTCTTCACAACATGGTGGCGGCGGTGGCAGCAACAATAAAGTTATGCCTTCTTTCTTTGCGTGAACATTTGGGCGGCGTTATACAAATCTTCCCACAGCGTGATGTAGACATGTGGGGGCATGTTTGAACGAGGCGTTTTAGGAGGGTGTGGACGAGTCTTAACTTTTATAAAGAATATCTCTTTGGGTTTGAGACTTTAGTCTTTGCAACTTTAGGGATCTTATCTATTCACGAACAGCTTGTAAAACTCCAAAGAGAAAGGAAAACTTGAAATCGCATCATATGACCCCTTTAAAGAATCGATTACATTAATTTACTTTTTTTTTTGGTTGAAATGTAATATCCTATTCACTGGCTACAAGTAATATGCTGCAAGAGATTTCTTATTCACATTCTTAAGAAATCAACAGCCACCACTACAATGTAACTTTCTATTACTATGCTGCAGCTTTTTTAATCTTCGTAAAAACCCATTTAGCTGCTTCTAATATCAAACTACTTGAGTTAGATAGTGGTTAGTCTGCGACTCAGACGACACACCCACAGACTGCAAACAGTTACTAAATCGAACAAAACTGGAAAGTACTTTCTCTATCTGGCAAGATCTAATATGTTTGGCTGGTTTTATCCATTTAAAAAAAAAATCAACACTGTTTATAAGGTACTGCATTACTTTTTTCCATTTCATTTTTAAAGACATTCAATTCTGCATTCACTCTAAAACTTAAAATAGTTAGATTAGCCAACAGTGGATAATTTTCACACTATTAAAAGGGGAGGCAACCCTGATCCACTCTGTGATTGTTTAAATAATCACCACATAAATAGCAGCCTGTGCTGACTCGCAGGGGGAGGGTCACGGGGCGAGGCGGTCATCTCCTGTGTTCTTCACAAATTGATAAGGCACACAATGTGCAAACATTTACTGACTCAAAAACAACAGTCTCACATCGAGGAAGCCTCTTAGTAAACCTGGAGGAAAGCCCCCGACCGGTGTGTATTTTGTTAAAGGGAATCACAGGACCATTCTGGGGGAGCAGATATAATATCAGCACTTACCATATGCTTCCCCCTCCATTCCAATAGGACCAGGCTGCGGAGTCTCACCATTCTTCAGGCAGTTGTGAATGTAGGCTGCCTTCCACTTTGCATACTTCCTGTGCTGGATATTCTGGATAGGGAGAAAATGGGAAAGTCAATCGGTGAATCATTAAGATAAGAAATGCTCAGTTAATGAACTTTCCCAACAACACAATAGGTGCTAAAAGAGCAGATTTGATTGTCAGGATATGTCTGTATATGACATGGATAAGAATTGATTGATGAATGATTCACTCTTGACTATGATTATGGTACATGCACTTATGAATGCGAGTTTAATGACTGGTATATTCCGCATTGCTTTTGAATAAAGCACTAACAAGTACAACTTGAAAAGCTTGCATTGAAATTGAAGGGCTGTTACGCATGATGAACAGTTTAATTCCTTTAATGGTATATGCAGTATGTTAAAAGGCACCAATATTTATTTTAGCTGCAGTCTGTAACTTTTGGCGCTCTAGCGGTTAATAAACAGAACTGCGTGCATCTTGCGGAATAACATTGTAGCCGGAGCTAGTTCTCTCTGTTTATGTCTATGGCGAATCACGCAGGTACTGGGCTACTCCGCAGCGGTACCTACCCGAACCAGTCTAAATAGTCCGAATATAAACACTTATTATAGGTGTATCGTAGTGATTCAGGATAAGCCAAAAACACGGTTTGGAAAATGGATTCATGGTGTACTCGCTTATTATATACATTTTGTAAATTTTTAACACAAAAGTTACGGACTGCAGCTTTAAATAACAAATAAGGGGTTTTCTAAATTTTTTATGTTAAGTCCCCACAAATAAGATGCCACCCTTGTAAAAGGGCCCCCTTCCTAAGAACATAAAGTCAGCTATATATTTGCATGTACACTTAGGAAGAAAAATATTAAATGCAATATTATAAAGACATAAAATAAAAAACGACTTTTATATTTTACTATTATTTATCTGGAAAATATTTAATTTGTATTATACTGACAGGATATGTACTTTGTATGTTAGTTTTAATTAATATCACTTTCACAATAAATATTGTTTTAAAGCAGCATATTAAAAATGATTGCAAAATATTTTCAACATATATTTTAAGTTCTTATTTTCTGATTCTCAATTTTTCTTCCAAATTATCTGCAGACCTTCTAGCAGGCCTCTGGCAATTCCTGGACTTGAAAACATGACTAAACATGCAATAATAATCACAATAAACAATTATTCTGTTATATATTATTGTATATTAGCCTAGCTGTCGGTGATATCTCAGATACAAAGTCCTAGCAAATTAATATAGAATTTAACTAATGTGTTTCAAGGTGGAATGTGTAACAGCTATTTTAAAGTCAGAACTTTATATCAACCGGTCTTTTGCAATATGAAAAACTAACGCAATGCATTCAGCATATTATTCATATAAGAGTTGTAATTATTGTACATTTTCTAATCTAATGACTTTAAAGTATCTTGGCTTTATTTTCAATGGTCTGAAGCGTGCTGAAACCTGTAATTACACCACCGACTCAAATCCATTAAAAGGGTCTCGCAGACTCTTGAAGCCCCTATACATCTCAACTTCTACTTTTACATACATCAGAACTGAGTCCTCTTAAGTCTAGCACTAAAAAGTTCCCTTTCCTCATGTAATCTAATATGGCACAGCTCCTTGTGGCATTGTCGGAGAGAAACAGCACAGTAATGGAGGGCGATTCTGAGAGCTCATTGTCTGGGTTAGTGTTACACAGAGAAGGCACACTGTTTCAACAGTCAATCCAATGAGCTCTCTACAGTAGGAAAATGTCTGGCCCTTAGGGAGCGAAGAACACTCAATGAAACATTGTCCATCTTCGGACACAGGTCACTTCCCTCTGTATAAAAGAGACATCTGCGACCATGGCGACCAGTAGGGATGGTCTAATAGGCACACTGGAAATACACAGATTCAACTGGTGGATTAGCAACACTTTCCAGACACAAGTTTGCCAAGAATTGGCCTCTCAAAACCTCTGTGTACATTGAGTCTGGTGAGGCGTTGTCAGTCCTTGGGCTCAGGTTTATAGTTTCCCATTAATTTCCACCTTTTCATGTTTTTGTAGCAGTTTTCAGATTTGAACACAAGAACATGGCTCTAATGACGTATTTGATTCCATCAGACATTTTCACGTTCCACTAAATTAGGCGAGTTTGTGTCTGTGCCATCAGAAACAGGGGACTGTGTCAAGAAACACATCTCAGGCCCATATTTATGTCCCTTCAACACAAACCGTTGTCATACTAGCCTTGGCGTCAAAATACAGACCTACCTAGTTGACAATGTAGAGAACGAAACAACCCACAGTGACTCACCTCGTCTGATAATTCGCCAAAGACACTCAACACATCAAACAGGAGACTTGAGGTGTAGAAGGACTTGATCATATTCCTGTGATCAAAACACACATTAAACTGTTAACACTGGAGTCAATTAATTTCTCAAAGTACAACAAATAAGCCAATTGTATGTCTCAAAGCAGATGTGTAATATGTAGAACATCTGGATATTACACACATACTACTGTTCAGATGTTTGGGGTCAGTATAATTTTTTTAATCCAAGGCTACATTTATTTAAAAAAGAAAAACAGTAATATACTATTACTATTTTAATACATTAAAACATAAAAATCAATATCACAGATTTGCTGCTTAATATTTTTTAAAATGTGATCCTTTTTTTCAGGATTTTTAGCATTTATTTTAACATGTAATATTGTCAAATAGTGTGTTATTTTTCTGAGAAATTAAGAGCCTTGAAGCTAAAGAGACTGTTCACTTCTGGTAATCCTGACTCAATCTTTCTTTTAATTATTATTATTTTAGTCAATTAATGTCTCAAATTACAACAAATAAGCCAATTGTATGTCTCAAAGCAGATGTGTAATATGTAGAACATCTGGATATTACACACATATTACTGTTCAGATGTTTGGGGTCAGTATCATTTTTTTTTTTATCCAAGGCTACATTTATTTAAAAAAGAAAAACAGTAATATTGTAATATACTATTACTATTTGAATACATTAAAACATAAATATCAATATCACAGTTTTGCTGCTTAATAATTTTTTTAATGTGATACTTTTTTTCAGGATTTTTAGCATTTATTTTAAATAACATGTAATATTGTCAAATAGTGTGTTATTTTTCTGAGAAATGAAGAGCCTTGAAGCTAAAGAGACTGTTCACTTCTGGTAATCCTGACTCAATCTTTCTTTTAATTATTATTATTTTAGTTTTCTCTTTCCAAAAGTCATTTTATTTCTTCACACATGGTGCCATTAAACATGCATTTATAATGTAATCTGCGTTGTTTTTTTGCTACGGACCCCAAAGTAGTTTTCTTACTTAAATGTCAATTATCAAAGGTTTAGGTAGGTGTTTTTACATTTCCCATCAAAACTTATGCAATGACCCTGAAAGTCAGGTATGGTGTTATTCTCATACAACAGCTCTGTTACCATCCTAGGACATATTAATCAGTCACACTTCTGCTGTAGTCAAACACTCCAACGTTCAAACTTGAATATGAATATGGAAATGAGACTATACCAAGTATGACTTATCCTCTTTAAATAAAAACAAACAAATATAATTTAAAGTGGTTCATTTAAAGTCTCTTTCAGTACATTTTCATCTTCAGGCACACTGATCTGATCCCTGTCAGAAAAACCTCACTTTCTATAAAACTTTTAAGGTTACAATTATACATTCATGTTCAAGAAAACCTAAAAGGAACTTGCTGACAATACTGGCATTGTTTTTCCAGGATGGGGATAAATGTCATGAACTACAGTACCTTTTAAAAGTAAAACCATAAAGTACACAATGATTCACCTTTTGAACTGTTCGAACAAACCCTAAGTATGTGAATACATCCTGAAGAGTGGCCTCTGGACAGGGAGTGTATGCAGGACTGTCAGCTTCCTCCAGTAAGATAGATCTTCACTCTAAACCTCATCAGCAGGAAGAGGATAAAGAGCATAAGGGCACGAAATGCCAAAGTTTATCCATTTCAGAACGTATTTTGAGACTCGGAGGGTACCTGTTGTTTCTTCTTGCAGCAATGTAAGACTTCGCTAGCAATTCACTTTTGGAGGTTTTTCTTGCGCAACCAGAATCGTATACAAGGTACCTATGCCTACGACAACATCCTGAAGTGTATTTCTCTGAGATTTTATTGCGTCTTGGTAAACATTTTATAAATGTGTACTCAGGTTTATCTAGCTACAACCAAATGAACGATCACTTAAAATACCTTGGAAAGTGCCAGTCTGCATGACCTGAGGTCTGAGTCACTGCCAGGTATTCAGCTCCTGGACCCTTTACCAGCACTGCACTGCTTATGACGTCACTGTCCACAACAGCTTCATTATACTGCCGTGACCTGTAACGCTACACCTGGCTATTCCATGCCGTCTCACTCCCAAACAACTGCCCTGTACAGAACCAGCTTTGTAGCTAATTTTAGCCTGTTACTCACTTTCTGTATGTGCAATACTGACAGTGGGATTATTTTGTGTCACAGTTCAGTGAAACAGTAATTAAGGTCTGCACATTTAAACAGTCTAAACAATCTGGGGACTAATCCAATCCAGACCCTAACTTACTTGTGGAAACGTCCTGATCGATCTTCACTGTCTGCATAGAGGAACATTTTCAAGGCGTAATTCTCAATGTGGGCATTGCCAACTATTTCCTGCGTCATGGATTCATTGTCGCTGAGCTCCTTCTTCATCTGAAACACAAAGAAAGTTAGTTTTCCATATGCAGTACAGATGTTAATGGTAATATCATCTTAAGTGCTATGCAAATGAGGTCATTTTAGCATGTTTTAGCGTGGGCGATACCGTAAAGAGTGTTTACTGCATCATTTATGACTTATGATTCTGGGCGATTACTATCTAAAGCCCTAGTTTCCATAGCATGACTCATTAATTCCGGAGACGCATCGGCTACTTTGATTCCACTCCAGAAGCCTAGTGTAATTAATATTTAGTTGCAAAAGAGGGTCCCTCTGGAGGGTTGCCCACGCGCAATTAGTGGACTCATTCACCCAGCTATTATTATGATCCTTTCTGCGACACCAGGCGAATGAATTTGCAGCCTCATAATTCACAGAAAACGGTTAAAATGCAACAGACAATAGCACTGCGTGGACTAAAGCACGCTTATGCCTTCTCACTTCTAATAATACTGAGACAGCAGCAAATCTGAATATATCCATTTGTTTTCCTGGCATGAGATTTCAGGCTTCATCCTTCTCCATGTTGGTACATTGACAATAAATGTGGTGTAGATTCATTTCAAATAAATTTAAACTGTGATTATGTAAACATAAGCAATTTTTGAGGTGGTCCTGCATAAAAAAATATTTTCATTGCAACATTAAATGGAATGGCAGGTTTCAGCACATTTGCAGCTATAATCCTGATCTCTGCAAACCAGTGTAACACATAAGACAGCGGTGACCCGGTCTTTTACTTAGGTTTGGAATGGCCAGCACCCAACTGCCAAAGCTTCAGCCAGTCAGCGGCCCCCAGGCTCTGCCTTCCTCTCTGTGATGTTACAGTCTGCTAGAGAGCGTCAGGTTTCCTTGTAAAATCAGTAAAGCAAATACGACTGGTTACATTTCAACAGGTGGAACCTGGGCACCTGAATGGACTCACTGTTCACGTTTTAATGAAATTTTTACCTATTCTATGAAAAAGAATGGCGAAGGCACAGTACATCACTTGTGTTGCATCACAGAAGAATATAAAAACATAAGTCGGAAGGAAGCGTGCAAAAACAGTACAGAGAGAAAGAGAGATTGAACGATTTCAGTTGCCAATGCACACTAAATCAAAGCCTTGAAACTAGATATTGTCTCTGCACACCGATTCCATGGGGTTTACCCAAAATCCCCCTGGAAAAAAAGAAACACTGGAGTCATTTTAACACTCTTACTAAAGAAAGCTTGTTCTGTTAAGAAAAGCGAAGAAGGTACTACGTGTTTTCTGGCCAAGACACATGCTGATATTTAGCACGAGAGCATGATATAGGTGAAGTGAACCTTATCGCGCACATTCTACTTCTCTGTGCAAGTCTGAGACAAAACTCCTACATCTAACACTGAGAATTAGCAGGCTTACAGGTCATTTATATAAATGCTCCAGAAGACAGATATTTCAAGCCCAAAATTTGCTGTATAATATTTTGGTCAGCACAAATCATGTTTACTTCTGTCTCAAGTGAACCTGTATTTATTGTAGTCTGGGACTGGGTCATGTTTTCTTTTACCTTGTCTAGTTTTGTTCATTGTTTCTTGAGGATGGAGGAACCTATCCATGCTGGTATCTAACTACTTTGTCTGAAATACCTTTACCTTACCTGAAAAAATGGATGTTGCATCAGCAACAAAATATATGGGGTTTCACTTCCTGTTTCAAGCCTATTTACCTTACTATCCCAATAATGCACAATTACTGTATATAGTTAGATATTATTATTTGCATTCTGCATTCTGCATTTTCTTTTTCAGAACAGACCTGTGAACTATTTCTGGGTTGAGAACCAATTTCAATCAGTTATGCTACCTGAACCACTGTAGTTTTATAAAAAGACACTGCAAAACACTTCTTTATGGATGAAAAGAATAAGGTCGCTTAAGTTGACCATTTCTATACATAATCTATAAATTAGGGCGGTCAAAAAAAAAATTCAAATTTAGAATATTCGTCGAATTTAAAATAAAAATCCACATTTGAATGCAAAAACTTTGCATTCGAATTTTAGGTGTGCGTTAAGGAGGCAGCCTTATCAGTGGCGCACGAGATGCGATGGCGTAAAGTCCCATCCCACTGCATCTCATGTTTTTAAATGAAAAATATACCGTTACTATGCATGCATACATACTGTACATACATGATGCTGTTTTGTTTATAGTTGTTTAAGCAACTTAATTATAATTGGTTTATAAACATTTTTTTTAAACATTATGCACTTTTTTCACAGGTAGTCATGTTATCTTATGCTTTGAATAAACGTGCATTAGTAATATTTTGCTCGATGCGCCCTCTTGTGGCCTCAGAAGAGAAGCCAAAAGGTTTTCTTCACCCTAACTGAAATTATGCATTTCAAATGATGGTATTTAAGTACAAAATTCTAATTTAGTTTTTCAGCCCTACTATAAATAGCTATAAAAAAGTTCTAAGTTTAATAGATCCATGGATTTCTCTCTTATGTAGTAGATTTCTTGCATATAATCCCCTGAATGGCAGGTGGCTGATTCAGATCGTAATTAAGGGGCAGAGCATCATCCTTTCACACAGATTCAGGTCAGTACACTGTATGCTTCAGACCTTGTGACCGGATGTGCCCACAAGGATCTGGGTCTCCACAGATTGTTGTTTCCTGTTTCTGTGACATTTCATGAACTGAGTTGAGGCGATAGTAAAAGCGAGCTCTAGAGACGGCAGGGTCTCCGTTCTCCCTAATTGGCTCCCGAAATGTCTATAACAGTGCCTAAGCATAAAAGCAAGGTTTTTCCGTAGCTTCCTGCTCCCCTTCTGAGGAGACCTATAAATTCAGCCTTGCGAACTGTTTAATACAAAAGGTCACTTATCACTTTTTGCTAATGCCACATACACAAAAGAAATCAAAACTAGTAGAAGTATGAGTCTAGAATTATGAATCTATAGTTATCTGTAAATATCAGCATATTGCAAGATAAGGCAGTACATTTTTAAAAGATTCGTTTAAGTAAATAGTTAAATAAATAGTTCACATCAGTTGAATAAGTGTGCTTAATGAGTTCATGAGGCAAGATGTTCATTTAAAAAAAAGAAATGAACCTATTTAGGACTTACCATTTCCAACTGATCCATTAGTTTCACAAGAAACTTTCGGCACTCTGGAGTTTTGCTATCTAGTTTCATTCCTGTCTGCATGGCGTAAAGTCGACCTGAAACACATTAGACATGAGAGGAGCATTTTACTTTCAATGTTTAATCACTGCACTGATGTCATGTTGGCATTCAGTATACAGTAGTCAAATGTCTAGACATGCCTAACTAGATATATGTTTTTCATGACCTTATAGCTTATGCTAAAATGGCTGAAATTAACGTCTTTTGTAGAGTACTTTTGTAAGTTGTAGAAGTTTCTTTACAAAACAAAGTTTTTTTTTCTTTAGTTGGAATGAAGTGAAGAAAACGAAGCCAGCATGTGTCCAGTATATCAGAGTTCCTTCATTACAGTCCAAGAAGAAGAGCATTCCAGACTACCTCATAAAGTTGGCTGAGAGAATGCCAAGAGTGTGCAAAGCTGTTATCAATGTGAAGCGTTATATTGAAGTAGTTTCATACTTCCATTTCTGTAATTTCAAAATTTTGCTGACTTAAAATGTGAAAGAAAAAAGTAAAAGTGTCCAAATGTTTGACTGTTAGTGTAAGGAAAATTATATTATAATGAGTTTGGAAGATGCAAAATAAAAAGTAAAAACAGACATGATATAACCAAAATAAATACAAATTTAAATAGTAATTAAAAGAATCGTGTTAAAGTTCTGACCTTTAGTTAACTTTCTCCACTATCCTCTAATTCCCTTTTCTTGCCAGTAAACTGCATTTTTTTACTTTTATGTGTCTTTGGACCACTGGCGTCCAGTTGTCACTAGTTAAGATTTACAAAACATGGTCAGGCCTACACATCTGGCAAACGTTTTCAAGGTATTTTACTGGCCATATGTGACCAGTACAATGGAATTCTTACTGGCTCTTGCTCATTTAGTACAATATACAACAGTGGTACATGATACTAAGAGAGAAAGCTTAAAAAAAAGCCTTTGATGCACACTGTACGTGTCATTTGTGGATGCGCACTTTGAATACCAGAGCTACAAAAAAAACAGATGTCGCTACTGTAAGAGCATAAAACTACTCAAATGCAGAATTAATTACATTCACCTCACACATCAATAAAGAGCATTAACCTAACAGCCTATTTTAATATTAATGAATAAAATTACAAGTCTTGATCAATCAATAGACCCTAATAGAAAAAGAATGTGATCTACAAAGAAGCGCAGCATGAAACAGGAAGTACAGAGTTTGTTCATTAGAATTCGAGAAGGATCGCAAACAAGGTCTTCATTATGGGGTTCCTGGAAGAAGACAAGACAACAATCAATTACCCCGAGCCTTTGGGATATGCTCCACTAATGAAGATAATATCCGGTCCCACCCACACTTTCACCCATTTAAAATCTCACCTAGGTGAACCTATGCTGTCCCAAAGGAAATTCAAAAGACGAGGGCTTACAAAGTATTCCCGGGCTTGCTATTGTATTTATGTGATGAAGAGGAATGAAACGATCCCCTTGCGGCTAAACATTGGCCAAAATCTTAATTCGCTAAACACTGAGATACATCAGGATGGGCCTCTTACTTAATGTAACAAAACTAAATATCACAACAATGAGAAAACTAAGAGATAGAAAATCTGTCATGAACTTATGAACTGTTTTTACTTGGTCCTTAAAATTGTATGTATTTGCAAGAAGTGTTTTTTAATACAAATACTGTGAAGACATAATTGGTAGGCCTACATAACGTTACATAATTGGCGTAATTCATGATACAGAAATCTAACCTAATACATATGCTATAAAAAAATTTAAAGTCTGCATAGTATGCAAACATAAGGAAACTATAATGTGAATCATATTAAGTGAAATACATATTTGTTGTAAACACACTGAGGAAAAGGCTGGACATGTTTTCTTGATATTACAGTGCTTTTAGCAACATAAAATATCCAAACAAAATAACTAATTCTACATGCTTTGCTGAAGTGACATCCGTCAAGCCGAGACGGGACTTTGAATGGCACTTTGTATGCGAGGCAGACCTTTCAATCAGTCATCTAATTCAGATTTTAAACACATTAGCCAGTAAAACATAGTGAACTGGCAATTACAACTTCCTGAAGGAAACAAGGAAAAGCAAATATGCCCAGCTGTGAGTGCTCAGGCCAGGGCAAATACATCCTGCGTGTTAGTCCTCATAAAGGTGTCTGTATGCTGCTGGATAGATCTGTGCTCTCTGCCAAGAGGTAAGGTTCAAATTTCAGTAATTGAGTAATTGAAGTTTTATTTCAAACAAGAGACCTATTCGCATCTAACGAAACACGTAAGGTGCCTTAGTTAAAATAAGCATAGTTAAGTTAGTCAGAATAAGATGGGTTAAATAAACAGAGAAAAATTGAGAGAGAAAGCAACATGATCAGCTTAAAGGTCCCATGACATGCTGCTTTTTGGATGCTTTTATATAGGCCTAAGTGGTCCCTAGTACTGTATCTGAAGTCTCTTTCCCGAAATTCAGCCTTGGTGCAGAATTTCAGCCACTACGAGCCAGTCCCACAATGAGCTTTCCTTAGGATGTGCCATTTCTGTGTCTGTAGCTTTAAATGCTAATGAGGAGGAGAGAGGCGGGGCAACTGCCATGCTTCGCTTGTTTGCAAGCCGTGATGTCTCTCGAGGGAAAAAAAATATTGCGGTCGCCTCGCATGGTAGTAGCTCATTTTCTCATGGGCGGGCAAAATTCTCTGGGTGGGCAAAGCAGAGAAAGAGGAGGTAACCTTTCCCCGTATGACGACATAAAGGGAAGATTCCAGATTGGGCCATCTGAGATTTCATTTTCTCAAAGGCGAAGCAGGATACCCAGGGTTCGGTTTACACCTATCGCCATTTCTAGCCACTGGGGGACCGTAGGCAGTCTAGGGGAACTCATATTAATGTTAAAAAACCTCAAAGTGAAATTTTCATGCCATGGGACCTTTAAAACAAAATACAAGAAAAAACAATAGTCTTGTGCAATGAACAAGGAAAGGCCATAGGAAGCACATGAAATACCAGTCAAAATATCGCAAATTTATCAGCCATATCACCAATTGCATCCAATTATAATAAAGCTGCAAACCAATACAGGGTAAGGTAATTGACTTATCAATCTGGATATACAGTATATTTCACAATTGTTAGCATCACAAAAGATTTGTAAAATGTACAAAAACCCTAAGAAACCATACAATGGGGTTTTTTCAGATTGGGCCATCTGAGATTTCATTTTCTCAAAGGCGAAGCAGGATACCCAGGGTTCGGTTTACACCTATCGCCATTTCTAGCCACTGGGGGACCGTAGGCAGTCTAGGGGAACTCATATTAATGTTAAAAAACCTCAAAGTGAAATTTTCATGCTATGGGACCTTTAAAACAAAATACAAGAAAAAACAATAGTCTTGTGCAATGAACAAGGAAAGGCCATAGGAAGCACATGAAATACCAGTCAAAATATCGCAAATTTATCGGCCATATCACCAATTGCATCCAAATATAATAAAGCTACAAACCAATACAGGGTAAGGTAATTGACTTATCAATCTGGATATACAGTATATTTCACAATTGTTAGCATCACAAAAGATTTATAAAATGTACAAAAACCCTAAGAAACCATACAATGGGGTTTTTGGGGTCTTGTTTTGTGATCTCAACCTAACAAACTTTGGTACTTTCTCATAATCTCAACTAGTGGTCGACCGATATATCAGCATTGGCGATATATCGGTCGACCACTAGTTGAGAATACTAGTGCACCTCATCAGGCGGCGGCTACATAAGCCACACAAGCCCTGCCATCTAGGAGATTCCTCCATGAGACTGAGCACTAACTCGCCCTCTCATTTTTCCCACAGAAAGCAGCGTGTGACCGACCAGCCCCACAGGAGCACTGCACGGACCCTCTGCACTGGGAAGACGGAAGAGAGCACTCACGGCACTGGAGCACCTACCTGGACCTTTCTCACTAGCACCCATCCCACCAATAAATCCGCCCTCCGGGGTATTGATTGAGATTACTTGTCGTGTGATTCTTCACCCCGTTACACTATATATATTCAAATATATTTCAAATATCGGCATCGCCCGATAAGTTTTTCTGTTTGGCCGATGTGTTCGAGGCGGGAATTTTATTTTGACGGCGCTGAGAACGGCAGCACCTGAGCGCACACCGCTCACATTCTCCCTCTTGTTCGCTGTCGTCATTCAGTTCTGTCTAATATGGATAGAAGTCTATCTAATAATCAGATAGAATGGTTAAACAAAGGAATTAAATTGTATACAAAAAAGTATTATAACGATTGCTTTAATATTATTAGTAATAGAAAGGCAAACATTTTAATACTTTCTCGTTTGCCGTCAGCATTCAGCAAATACGCATTTATATAAATTTAAACAAATCTTTGAATGAGTAATGAACATTTAATCTCACAAAGCTTGCAGACTTAGTCGAATCTAGTTGAGACCTTGTGAAGTGTGCATTTGTATCCTGCATGATCGCATGTTCTCTGAGTGACGGTAAGTCCGTGTGAATTGAATGCTGACAGGAGGAGAGTTCTGCTTGACTGGAGACGCAGGATCGACAAACTTTAAACTAGTGATTTCAAATTATGCTGCACTTTATGCATTTGCCCACTGTCATATTCATGTCATTTTCATTGCGTGCTGTATGCAAAATGAGCGTTACCTTGGCTTTATTTGAAAAAAAAGAAAGAAAAAAAATATATATATGATTCCCAATGCACACAAACTCAATACTGAGTGCCCTGTTGGTTACAGTGTTAACTCCCTTTTTAATTCGATTTTTATTAAATATTAATTTATTTGTGAAAAATGCTTTGTCTTCTAAAGTATAAGTATGTTTATTTCACACAATTATTTTTAATCCATTTTCAATTATTTTAAATTTCTTAAAAATATAAATTAAAATAAATACAATTATATCGGCTTTATATCGGCCACCCTGCTTTCCAAGATATCGGCATCGGCTGTCAAAAAACCCATATCGGTCGACCACTAATCTCAACCACATTTCTCATGAGAAACAAATAGTATGTTGCTCATGA